AAAAAAAAAGAAAAAAAAAAAAAAACAAGGAGTGAAGACCGTACGTTCTGTTCGGGCGAAGAAGGTAGCACTTATCTGAAATGTATCTGACAGCATGTACACTCATTCTACAGTCATACCTGGATGTACCTGGCCGCAATTCCGTCCAGAAGTACGTTAAAAAGTCGCAGTGTGAGTGCTATGCCCTGAGACGGGTGGCTCTGCCTGTTGACGCACGGCTTGCCTGTGGAAGCTGGGCCGCCGAAACCAGATGCCAGTTGWYYTYTTTTTTTTTTTTTTTTTTTTTTTTKTTTAGAATGAAACATTATATTTTCAAAATTACCGGAAAGCTGTATAAAAAAAAAAAAAATTACCGGAAAGCGGGCCCGGGAAAAAAAAAACAAATTTTCACAGCAGTTGACCTGATTCACAGTTGTCCCGATTCTTCATGTCTGGCCGTCGATCTCCCTAATGTTATTATTATTTTTTCTTTTTCTCTTTTTTTCTCCTCTGGCATGCCTTCCGGGCCAACTACCCACCGTTTCAGGAAAAAAGAAAAAAAAGAAAAAAATAAAAAATCTTACCCGGTCTTCATAATCCATCAACGGTCGCAAATGAATAATTAATGATTTATTACTGCGTAAGAAAAGAAAAAAAAACATCGGGCAAGTGGGACGTCGAACCCGGGCCGAGGTCCCACTAGCAGAGAGGGCGTTCAACGCCTGAATCTGGACGCGACTGTGGGAGGGGTGCACAAAATCGTGATCGATTCGCTGTTGTGCATCTCCGCGCAAAACACATCCAGGTTCAGGCGCTGAAAATCTAATCCTCCTTGCTACATGGGACCTCGGCCCCGCCAGCATTTAGCAGGGCGTACTCACACAAAGTCACGCGGTTGCCGGCTGTATTTCGGCGCTGATCCCGGTCATATTCGTTCTCGCCTAGTCCCAAAGTATTTTGGTTGATGTCAACAACCAAAAGGTGCTCTTAGTTGTGTTGCATTCATATAAGAGAAGGCAGCGGAGCGTTCGAAACACATACTACCATGTTCTGGTTGACGTCAACATTTGTACGGGAAACACACTGGGAGCATCAACTTGTCCACCCCCTGAGCTTGTGATCTCAACGCGGGCGGTTGGTTATACCCGCCGCCATCGCCATCGTCATCTCACCCCGCCGATATCCGCCATCGCCAACTACGCTCGAGATCTCTGCCATCTGTTCCACAGGTGCCTGTTCCACCATCGCCAGTTCCAACACCACGTCCTTCTTCCTCCTCGAACGACATCTCTGAGCTCTCTGCGACGAGGTAACCTCGCACCTCTAGCCGTCCATCGCCGATATCCGCCATCGCCAACTGCGCTCGAGATCTCTGCCAACTGCTCCACAGGTGCCTGGTCCACCCTCGCCATTTCCAACACCGCTCGTCCTTCTTCCTCCTCGAACGACATCGCTCAACTTCGGAGAGTTGACCTCTCACCTTTTGACTAGTACCCGTTCGTCCGATCTTCACCATCGCCAACTAGTACGCTCATGATCTCTGGCATTTGTTGAGCAGGTGGAGGGTCCACGTGCGCCGGCTCTCTCTTGTCTGGTAGCATAATTATAGCGTCCTCATCCTTCTCTCCTTCTCTCCTTCTCTCCTTCTCTCCTTCTCTCAATCGTCAGCTGAGAACTGCTCTTCTATTGACGTCATCATCTAAGCATTCGCCATCGCCGTCACTCTTGTCTGGAAGAAAGATCAGCCTCGGCATCCTTCTCTCCCTCTCTCCTCCTCTTCTTCTCTCCTTCTCTTCGTCTTTTCTTTTCTCCTTCTCTCCTTTCTCCTTTTCTCTCCCTTCTCCTTTTCTCTCCTTTCTCCTTTTCTCTCCTTTCTCCTTTTCTCCTTTTCTCCTTCTCTCCTTTTCTCCTTCCCTCTAGCTTGGCTAGCTTGGATAGGAGTTTCATTCTTCTTGTATTCACTGCAAATGCGAAGCACGAACAGAATTAGAATGGCCAGCCCTCGAGGCGTTAGGATGGTTGTGCTCACCATCGCCATAAGCTTTCAGGTGATGGCTTTAGCATGGCTTCTCTCTTCCTCCTCGGATACGTCACTTGGGAAAAAAATGCCCTTCGGTTCATTTGCCGACGTCCACTCATTCCCAGATGATGAGTTCGACGACCAAAGCATCGCCCACACTGTTCTTCCGAACCACCTCCTCACTCTGCGAGCTCCCAAAGGGCACAGCAACCTCCATGATGATCTCCAATGGAATCTAGAACGTCAAGATCCTCACGCGTCGAACGATCTTTATGTGCTTCGAACGCAAGTCAACGGCCATAATCCGCGAGTCAACGGCCATAATCTGCGAGTCAACGGTCATAATCTGCGAGTCAACGGTCGGAAAGACGGATTTCAAGAAACCGGTGGTCAATCACTAGCGGGCGCGGAGGATCTGGCTCGTCGTCCATCGCAAGTCAACGGTCAAGCTCTGCGAATGGACGGTCAAAGTCTGCAAATCGACGGTCAAAATTCGCAAATCGACGGGCAGAATCTGCAGTTCGATGGTGAAAATGACGAAATCGGTGGACAGACGATCGGCTGGTCAGCGGCTACGGCATGGAGACGATGGCCGTCGATATCCTCCCGGTCCAGGATGATGAAGACACGTGGCTTGTTGTCGTCAACCCTCAGCTTTTCAGGATCGCCAGATAACACCCACCTCCTCCGTTCTCCACTTCCTAACACCAAGGAGGAAAGCGCCAGCAGCAGCAGCAGCAGCAGCAGCACCAGCATTCTGGCCAGAAGGGATAGCAATGCCAGTAGCCTCGGTGGCAGCACGGGGTGCTGCTCGAGGAGCAGCAAAACCGGCGCCGCCAGGTCCAACACCAGCCCCGGCATCAGCGCCGGTATCGCGATCGCCATCGCTGGCGCCGGCAACCCAGTCATCGCTGGGCCCATCGTGCGGTTCCAAGCACGGGCGGGTCGTCACCGATCCGACGGTTCGTATCACGGGTTAGGCATCTGGCAAGCCGGCAGCAACGCTGGCACCAGCTCCGACACCAGTGCCGCCGGTATCCCGACCGCCATCGCTGTCGCTGCCAGGAGCGGTAGCAGCCGAGGCACCATCAGTGGGACCATCGGTGGGACCACCACCGGTCCCAGCATCGGTACTACTAGCAGTGACGGCGGCCGCGGCGGCACCAGCGCCGACGCCAGCGCGGGCATCACCGGCGGAAGCAGCTTTGGCATCGGATGCACCAGCGGGAGAAGAAGGGGCACCAGCAGCGGCGCTGCCATCGCCAGCGCAAGCTATGGCAGCAGCAGGAGGAGGAGGAGCCTCCTACAGCAGCGCCTGCATTACGACCCCAATGAGATCCTTCATCCGTCTGGCTGCCCCGTCGATTTTCGACCCCTCGATTTCGGTCCATTTCAGCGGCCTTGTAATCCCCGGGTGCCGACGTTCGCCGCCTGCTGCGCGCCGCTGCAGCTAATCACGGGCAGCCAGCTGGCAACCGTGCCGAAGAGCGCCATGCCCGCTTGCTTGATTGCTTTGCAAGACGTGTTGACGTCAATGAGATATCCTGGATACAACATAGTGATGATGTGTAATCGAGCTGACGTGGGCGATGACAAGCTGGGGTTCGGTAGCAGTGCTGGCCAGTCTGAGCAGCAGGGGGAGGGCGATGAGCCCAGTGAGGGGCCCGAGAAGAGGCAACCTCCTCCTCCTCCTCCTCCTCCTCCTCCTCCTCCCGCTGGTGCTGGTGCTGGTGCTGGGGGTGATTTGCCCTCAGGTACTGGGGAGATGGCTTCGGGCACAGGCTCGGTAGCTCCCAGAGGAAGAGATTCGGTTAAGGGATCGGCAGCAGCGCCGGTGGATAAGGATGCAGCGAAAGCCTCGACGACGGGAGCTTCACCGTCGTCGGATCAATCTCATCGAACGAGCGCGACGAGGACGGGGGCTCGAGACCCAACGACGACCAGCGAACCGACCCAAGAAGTGGCGAGCCATCATCAACCCGTGTCGGAGGAGAACGCGAATCGTGGAGCAGGTGAGAGTACCCCTCTTTTGCTGGTCAAAATCTTAAAATACCCCTTTAAAAAAATAAAAATAAAACCCAAAAAAATAAATAGCCCTTAAAATACCCCTGGTCAAAATCTTAGAATAGCCCTTAAAAAAAGAAATAAATAATAATACTAGTAAAATAGAATAAAAATCTCAATGCGCCGCGGTAGTAGATGAGAATCGGATGCATAGCAAGAAAATAAAATAAATAAATAGCCCTGAAAATACCCCTGGTCAA